GATAGATAGATAGATAGATAGATAGATAGATAGATAGATAGACAGTGCAATGCAACCTCACTAGTATATACAAATTTCAAGCGTTTCCATAGCCCTTACAATTTGATTTCTTGTTACTTTGTCCAGAATGAATATATTTGTCCCTCATCGCCAAGTGACCCAAACTTTGCACCAACTAATGGCCTGCTCAGCACTGTGAAGTTACTTACTGGCAATCTCGTCTGCTCTTCCTCAAATGTCATGAAGGCCACCCCAGCCGCTACGAAAGGTGAACTTCTGGTAGTTGGATGCCCTACCAGCTCCTGCTTTAGTTCGATAGCTTCCACTTCCTCCAGCTCTACTTCTGCATATACAGTCATGGCTCAAAATTCACATGTTCCACTTATTATACGTGAGTTTGCCCCTATAAATACCACTTCTATAGGCATATGTGCTAGCCCCGAGGCTCGTGGAGGGCCAAGCGCTCTAAGCGGTGTTTCAAACTCAGTCTCAGCTGCAGCGGGAGATTCCGATGCAGACTCTGGCCGCGGTGGTAGCGTAAACAATCTGCGTTGTTTGTTTCCAGCCTGTAACGATCCAAGCCAGCAAATGAGTAGCCTCGAGGCTAGTACCAGCCCCAATCTGGTGTTGGCAACACCGACAGGAGATGCAAGCTTCTACACCGGCCAGTTTCTTGGTGATTCAGATTTGGAGATTTCCGCCTCCACTGCTGGCAGTATTACTTATGCGACGGCTTCAGAAACCACTTGGCCACCGTTTATCAGTATGATGCTGGAGACTTCGGTGCCGTCTTCTGCTCCCACGTCCTCAGTGATGCTGAACTCCAGCAACTTAATCGAGTGTCACTGTTCACTTCTTAGAGAAAGAGTCACTACACCATTGGATATCTACAAACGTAGTTCGCTCCATTTCAACGAGGATTTGTTACCCAAACAAAACTTGCCAACTTTGGTTCAGTCGCATGAATTGTCTATACCTTCAACTTCTATGGAGATTAAAGTAACAGACGGTCACAAAGGAGGCAAAGAAAAGGCTTCACATAATTTAGAGGGGCTTTCACTGCTGCCAGCCAATGCACAACGATCGTTCAGAGTTGCAGGATGCAAGGACCATAATGAGAAAGATGAAGTTGAGATTGCAGAGGATGTGAGCGAAAAAGAAGTTAGTATCATTCAGTTAAATGATTGCTCTAATATTTCATATAGCATAGATTTAATATGTCATTTTAACACATAAACAGGTTAGCAAAAGCCTTCTTGACTAAATTTCACTCTACAAACGATTGATTACTATGTCTCAAATAAATACAGGACAGGCCACACCAGAAAATGAAAGTTGGAAAGATTGCCATTTTGGAAAATCTATTTCCATCTTATTCGCCATTCATGCCAAATACACTATTTTAATCTTAATTTGAGGGCCATTATTTTCCGGATATTTGGCCTAATCTATTAAGTCTATACAAAGCTCTGCAGAGTATAACTTTACTAAGTTAAAAATATTCTGATAATTGTTTGTAGAGTATTGTTCTTAGACTTGCACAATGCCAGACATTTAGTCAATGGCAGCAGCAGTAACGATTACCATGTGTAAGAAAATGACAATTTTTCCAACTTAATGAATAATAATGAAGTTATAAACTATGGTATACGAAAATTAATAATACCGGAGCTCTAAATTTTATACTATCCTATTTAATTGAATATATGAAGACCAAGATGTTGTGGCCTCTGGTGTGGTCGCAGTCTCCTTTCGATTTATAG